ACAGGTTCTTATATAAATGGGGTATAAATAGGGAAGCTTAAAAGGTTGTAAAAATCCAGGTTCTTATACCTGAGTTTTCACTGTATATTGTAAATGTCTCACACACTTGTTGAAAGGCCATGACAGTATGGGCGCTAGTATTTTGGTGTAACGTGATCATTTCTCAAGTGCCAAGCAGACTTAATTCCTGCAACCTTGGCTTCCAGCATTTGAGAGGAACTAACTAAACTAATGTCGCATATGAGCACATCCTTCTTTCTCTTCACAAAATGCTCTGACCATAGCTTCTTGCTGACAAGGATTTAAATTGGCAGTGTTAATGTCCACACACTCAATGAAAGACTCTGGTATCATTGGTATCCATTGAAGTCTCTTGCAAAATTTCTCCGGGTCCAAAATTTGCTGCCTTGATCAGGAAAGGCACTGTGATTGGGCTACGTAAATAGCCCTGTGTTTCAGCAGACATTCATAGGCAGGGAAGATTGCATGGGGAGCCAAAAGAGAACTGTGTAGGAGGCTAATAAGATGCAGACCAGTTTGATAAAGTCAAACCTCTCAAAAAATGGACATGTTGCAATTGGGGACAGGAAACTAAACAGAAACAAAGACCAATGACCCAAGGTACAGATCAATTTGCGTGACCTTTTACAACAAAAAATTGGGGTTTTGTATACACCCTTGGTCAGTTGTTGATTAACTAGCTGTAGTCAAGAAGTTATTTTGGCAGTTGGGACACACCTTCATGGCCAAATTTGCTGTTGTGGAGAAATTAAGTGGAGACTTTCATTTATTTGGAACTACTGTGAGGCTTTGCTGATGTCAATATAGTGATTTCAAGTGTCGGGGATGGTTGAATAGTGGCGAAAAACAAAAGCCAAAAAAATTCTAGGACCAGAAATCAGCCCCACATTACACAGTACAGATACTGTACTTGTGGCGTATTAGATGTAATTAGTGGAGATACACGTCCACAGTAACTAGAAACACGAGCTAATAATTGCCTGCTGGTGACCACCCTGACATTAAAAGTAAGAGAATACTTCATTATTTAGGTAGCCATCAAATCATGTCAAGTCCGGTCATAACAGTGATCACCTAACAGATGAAATACGATTCTTACCATCTGCAGGCATTAAAATGCAAAGTTATAAATAATAATCAAATTATTACATACGATACAATATATTTCAGGTATAAGATCTAGTGATACGTCTGATGGAGACCTAAAATTCAGTATTTAAACGTTTGCACCCTTAATCCCTTTCAACAGCTTTAGTAAAATTAAAAAGATCAATATTTCCATACCTGGTCGATAGGAGAAGAATCGTTACCAATAGTGACTTGCAAGTTGACGCTTTCGTTTTGGCTAGATTTTCTATGTCTGCCTCGAAAGAAAATCCTCTTAATAAAACTGATAAAAAAGGAGAAGCAGCTAAAGAAACGACGAAAATTGAAATGGATTATTTTCATTATTATTATTAATACTACCGAGGTACTACCGTAAATGTTGTGAGTTTTGTGAGTTTTGTGAAGGAAACGAATGACTGGCCAGCGGTACATCCCAACTCAGGTTTTCCAACATGGCTGCTCTAACAGTCGGCTGCTCTACCTCCCCGACGGTAAATTTAGGTTAGTAAGCGACGGGAGTCGGAAGAAATGGAAAAGTTCTGATTCCTCCGGCTCCGTAGACTACGAGTAGTCCCTCTTTCGCTTAGTCCGTCGTGTGTCACGCGAAAGAAAACCGCGAGAAACAAATGGCCGCGCGAAATCCTGGGGGCGAGGAACGCTCCTCGCCCCCAGGATTTCACGCGGCCATTTTTTTTCTCGCGGTTTTCTTTCGCGTCACGAACGACGGACTAAGCAAAAGAGGGACTACTCGTAGTCTACCGGCTCCGCCGATTCCGTTGAGCTTATGACTTCGCTTAGGACTACGTAAGTTGTCAACTATTGTTCTGGTGCTGAGGTAAGACGAAAAATTTTAAATTAAGATTCTAGTTGGTGCAGAAACGTCAGAGAGCCGAAGGTTATATAAGTGGTGCAATTTCGTTCAGAAAGAAGTCTATGACCCTGGACAATAACGCCTTCGAACTACACTCCTGCAAACTTAAAGCGGGTAGCACCAAATTAAGGTAATTTTAGGTCTCTTTCCCTCTAGCGAACAGGCTCCCGGCGAAGCGCGAAATCGATCTTAAGTTTCGCACTTATCGGCTCGCTTCGCTTGCCCAAATTTTTCCATCCTCGCCGGGAACCTGTTTGCGGACTATTTCCGTCAAGCTGTTGATTATAGCAGTTTGTAGCGAGTGAAGCTAGTCGAGAATTGCGGAAAATTGTCCTCCCTTTGTATCGGGAATTACGGTTTAAATGGATCAATTTTAGTTTCTGAGCAACCGAGGTCGAATCATGGTAATAGACGTCGGATCAATTTTAGTTTCTGGGCAAC